AATAAATGTGTTTTTAGTTGTCTTTTAATTAACTTTGTAAAAATTATTTTACTTATTAACATTTCCTTTGGTTGAAAGAAGATTGGACATATACAGTAGAAAAAAATTGATTATGAAACGCAACTTTGAAGTAAGTTAAGCCCGCCGCACACAGAACGATTTTTCGTCGGCGACACACTTACGACAAAATATCGGCCTGTCTGCGCTGCTCCACGACAACTTTTCAACTAGTCAGGAGAGAATCAAACGTTTGATTTTTAAACGTTATACCATAGTGTGTGTGCTTTCCTACGACAATTTGTCGTGCTGATCATTATCTTCAGCCAATGGTTGCGCCATCTGATATCATGTGCCCACGTCAGAATTCAATATGGATCCCCCCAGTGATAGCTGTGAGGAAAGTACAGGTGAAGAAATTTTGAATAGTGAGTGGTCCATTGAAAAAGAGGACATTTTGGTCATGAGTTGGGAACAGCATGCTTTCTTAATCTTTTTTCTCTTCGAACGTGAAATTGCAGCCATTTTGAAACAAAGCCCCACCTCGCGGACGAGATAATAACTACGTCACTTTCACCACAGCAGTCGGCGCTTTGTTGCGACAGCTTGTCGTGCGTGTGCGCTGATCCAGGATGACCGAATTGTTCTGTGTGCGGCGGGCTTTAGAGCAATTAAAGATTCTGTGTAAGCTCATTTATTTACAACACAGAGAATACATACTACATGATTTTCAGTTTATGAACAATACACAATAGTTATAGTAATAATTATATTATCTGTGTATTTTGTGTGAATGAGAAGGATACCCATTAACTGCACCTCATCATCCACATTTATGACTGAGAATGTGCAAGTCTATGTATTTTATCAAACCTGCTCTAAATCGATTTTTACGGTATTTTTAACCTTTCTTAATTGAAGAAAACATAATTCTAATTTGAAGATTAGTTATAGAGACAGTATATGGGGTTTTGGCACAAAAAAATTAAAATTCACAATACCTAGAGACCATAACCCTGTCAGATTCCAATCTTACACATACCAAAAGATGTATGCCCAGTGAACAGTTGCATGTGTAAAAAAATAGCCTTTGATCAAGTATGCTTTATCATTTGATAAAAAGTATGTAATGTTCCTCTGAAACCTAAGCACGGATAATATCTGTAGAAAACAAAGCTTAAAAACAAAAAACCTCACATACTGTCCCTTAAAAAAATCTTTCATTATAAAAACACTAATGTAACTTCACTATAGATGAGGGTTTTGCTGACCAGTTTGTAGAAATTTCCTGCCCTGGCAATGATAGTACCTGAATTCTATGTCCTACATAGGGAAATGCTTGGAAGTGTTTTTCTTGGAATGAATCAAGCAGGTTTAGACTAAAAACTAAAAAAGGATGGGAATCCAGGAATAAAGGCATGTTATACATGTAACCTTGGCAAAGCATGCAATGGAGACATTTTTCAAAATTTAACAACAAAGGATGCAATCCGATTTGCTTTGTGCATCAACAAGAATTTGGATGTGTGACACTATCAGCGATGAATGCCATCATTTCATGGATCAGATAACTGTTAAAAAATACATAGTACCAGGTTGCACTTTAAATTATTTAGGAACTGGTACAGATACAATGTAAATCATGCAGCCATGAGCACCTTTATAATATTTGCTACAATTCACAAAAATAAAATGACCAATGTTTTTTTTTTTTTCATCAGCACATTTTCATATCATATTAATGCAGCAGCTTCATATTGTTTTCAACTGCTTACACTTGGATTCGTCAAAACAAAATGTGCCATGATATATGTAAGTCTGACATTTAATACTTATCACCTAAACACAATATATGGCAATCTATAATTTACCTTGAATGGTATTAATCTCTTATCCAATCTTAAATAATTTCCATGACCTGCTTAAATCCATCACTGTGACAACAGCTGATACAGCTGTTACGTTTCATCACAATGACCTACATCTCATAAGCACAACTTATCAACAGCAGTCTCTCATGCACGTAAATTTAATGGTTCAGATTCTCGTTTTTTTACCATCCTTAATCATTCTCTACAGCAAATAATCCCCTGCAAATATATGCCTTCATTTAAGGTCAGTGGGACACAGAGAAATGTATTGCTACAAGCCTCTTTTACCAACAAGATCCTTTGTATCTCAGCCTTGCTAAAGTGGTTGTTGCAGTAGTCATACAGGGTATTCATATCGCTTAACTTGCCTTAAATGTTCCACTGTTTGGTGTGCATTCCCCACAGCACGTTTGGTGAATGTTTACCTATGTCCACAAATATTAAAATGTCATCTTTCTCCATTCTTAAAAAGACATTTGCAGAACGTTACAGAATATGAAATACAGTGAATTTCATATTTTACTCAGGAAAATAGTTTCTGTGACTTACAATGCATACACAACATATGCATTTTGTAACGTATGTAATGGTCATATTAGTTTGTAATCATATGTGCACATTTTGCCATGGTAAACACTCAAATGGTCCATCTTCTAAATGTATTTATATCTAGGTTACTTTCTTCATCTGGTAAATTTGATTTCCATTTCAATCAGTCAGCCTCTATTATAATATCACACAGCAGGAATTGGTCTTCTTTGCCTTAAAAAAGATGTGATCCATGATTATTACTCAAAAATGACTGGGCAACTCAAAGTTTTTTAACTAGTACCTAAATGAAACCACATCATATAAAAAGTCAACAAATAATGAAGTTGACAAAGTAAACAGAACAATAACTGTTTGAACAAAACACAACTCCTCTCATCGTAGACCTTTAGTATACTTATTAGTTATATTAAAATAAGTGAACTATGATATACATGTGACAGCCTTTGAAAAAAAAATACATACATACATATATATATATATATATATATATATATATATATATATATATATATATATATATATATATATATATATCTTTTTTTGGGGGGGGAGGGGGGGGGCATTAGACTATTTCAATGTCTACAAATTCATATAGACAAGAAAATCAGCTTTTTCCATCCACTTTCACCAACATAAAGACTAAACTAGAGAAAGGAATTTCAAGTCTAACGGCATATATTAATGTGTCCATAATGGAAACCAACATGCCATGTTTTGTAACAAGTGTGCTACTCACTGTTTTATAAAAAGCCTTGGATTGCGTGCTGAGTCCCTCTGATTTATCAACAAGGTCATCTAATTTCTCTCCCCTCTGTAGTACAGCTTCTATTGTATTATGCTGAAGTCAGAACAAGCAACTTGTATGATCATATAACTTATAAAATCACAAATGTAACTCAAAACATACATAAACACATATGTAACAAAAAACATCAGGCAATTTTGAATGAAAACAGCACATTACTATTACCAAAAGATTTTTGAATGAATTATTTACTTGATGTATCAGTCTGCTATTAAGTGACACATATTGGTTAATTGTAAATACTAAAGTACATTAATAAATTAGTGAAGGGGTCAACAATTTTTATCTTCATTTTCGCATTTTCTGCAAACCATACACTTGGTGGGAGGGGGTGAATGCCCTTCTGCATGCTTTTGGAAAAATAATCAAAATGATTATCTTCACCCCCAGGGGTGTGAAGGCAAAGGTCTCCATTTTAAGCTTTTGCCTTGTATTCTCAGAACAAAGGAGGGGAAGGGGGGGAGAGTCTTTGCAGACTTGAAAATTGAAAATGATGATAAAAATGGATGACCCCTAAGTATTAACATAAATAATCACTTACAAGAATGATCTTGGTTTCATCTATGTCTGCTTGTAGTCTGGTCATGGCGTCAGCCTCCTTGGGATTCTGGTATTTGACTAAATAATCATCCGCATTTGAAAATTGAACAGTGCTGAAATACACAGAAGACATGAATCAAAACTCAGCATCCATATCACTTGCTGTCACTAATAGAAGCTGCAAGAAACAACTTAATTACCTTATCACTATTCACTAATCTTTATCCTGCAGACAAATTTTCTGCCCGGATTATTCTGAAATTGCTTACTTTCTCAGGTGACTTGATGGAAAGCATTTTGTACACAAAATCTGAAGAATTTATCTAGACAATGAAACAGAGTAGCTGTCAACTGCTGATGGAAATAATTGATTACTAAATTATATTATTAGCAAGCAGTTTATACTTGAGCTCTGTCACAGTTATGAAACAATGTATCTAAGAATAAAACTCTTAAGTGCTTTTTGCACTAAAATAATAAAGTTGCACAATAAACAATGAATACTTGATAGCTAAATCTTAACTTGATGACTGGGCTAAGTTACTGTTGAGTGAAATATTTTATGGTCTTACTTTTCTTCAACGGTACCCCATTCAATCTTGGGGAATTTTTCTGAGAATTCATCCAGCACTTTATTAAGCAACGTAAAGGCAACTCTCACTGGATATTCATGATCAGCAATTAGCACACCTGCTAAACCATCAGCACGCACATAGACATGCACCATGTATTCTAAAACAAAACATATAATTACAATAACAGAACTTAAGACCGTTCAATTTTATCTCTCAACAAGAAAACTGAGATGTTTACTGTAGTATGTCTGAAAATGTGATTTAGGTCTCTTTTTAAGTGCTGACATACATGCTACTAGAAACTCTATCCAAGTTCATTTTCCTTTTACAGAATACTGCAGATGTTTCTGCCTGGTATTGATCATCTTGCCAATAAAATATTTATGAAATGAGGTTTTACTTCTCTACTCACCTTGTTCTTTTACTGAAGCCCTGCTACATAAAGATGTCCGCTCTGTTACTATACGACTCGTGAAATCCATAAATTCTCTAACACTGAAAAGACAATACATTGATACTGAAATTAAAAATGTCAATTATCAACTAACATGATAACCTTGTGAGATTTCAACGTCACTAAACCTCACTTTAACTAGGCTACCTAATCTGCACTCCTTGTGAAACACATGTCATTGGTAAATTTCACAGTGATTCATACTTATTTTTTTTATTTCTTAAGGACAAAATGAAGCAAGAGAAAAAACCCTGTAATTATATTAATTATCAGTAGCCATTTCTTACACAACATAAATAAAATCCACAAAACCCCCAAAAATTATCTCTCATGCAGAAGAAAAAAGACTTTAAAAGTACATCTTCTTCAAAGTTCTAATTGTAAATTTCACCTACTTATTTTCCTTCCAGTCTTGAACTGCAATAAGCAGATAATATCTGAATATCTGTGTGCAAATCTCATTTTTCATAAAATAATGTAGCAAAACCCTGTGGTATTTCTTTAACTTATGGGGCATTCCATGGTATACTATTTAAAACTATATGGTGGCACTTGATTGGGATTAGGTTGGGATTAGGTGTTTGCTTAATGTGCGTCAATATAAAATATGCATTGAGATTGACAAAAATATTATTTTAACATATACCAGTACCTGCTGTGAAAAAAAAACACACACACATGGACATTCAAGTCCAGGAACAGAAACTGAAAGTGTCTTCTCAAAGTGAAATTGTTTTGTGTGTGTACAGCATTAAAACTAAAAAGCCCAAGCTGAGAATGAGCATTAAGAAACATGTGTCAATGTTATATTCAATTTTTCCCCATTGGTGTTTTGTACCAATCAACTGCTAACATTATATATCAACCTATGTATAAAATAATTTGTAGAACTGATTTTATTACAGTTACCATTTTCCAAAATTCTAAGTACTTTCTCTCTTCTTCTCTATCATATCCTGGAATTTATCTTACCTTCCTCTCTGAAAATATCCAAAGGACTGGAGGTCATGTGCAGCCTTCAGTGATCGCACTTTGTGCTCTGTCTTATACAATACTGTCAGGGAATATAGCTTCATTTTGTGGGTTTTATATATACAAGACTACCAACTATTTACACACCTTCTACAAGCTGAAATATAAAAGAAAATATATTTTGTTAATGTGAATACAAATTATGTTTTATATCCAGAGGATACAAATTAAGTTCAAATCCTTGCTGAATGAAAGTCAGTTTATAGATAAATATCTGCAGCTTATCACATGATGATCGCATAGTGATGGTCATGATATTGTACACAATGACTCAAATACTGGCTATTTAGTATTTGGTATTGAATGATCACATAACAACCACAAATAACACAGTGTAGGCATTACAGAATTAGCTTTCTCACAGTAACTAAAAATGGCAATTTTTTGTCGACCTGGATTGTTTGAACGATAAATACAACTAATAACCACTCTTCTACGCTTCTCAAAGCGTATGCTTCTTTGCTATACTTCTTATGTTATCAACTCATTTTTTACCTCTTCCTGCGTGGAACTTTTTACGTGTCAATTGGATAGAATTATGCTGAACAATAATGTACCATATTTAACAAAACGAACCATCAAATCCCCAACGTTAGACAGTCTATGGTTTGAGTAGGTTCAATTCATGAGTTACCGAGAAACACCATAAAATGATGAAACTTACCCTCTTTTACACAATGACTTGGTGACAAACATCCAATAAGTTTGATGCTCTCAAGATTGTTAACATCGGAACTATCAAAATTTTTTTCCGTGACTAAAGAGTGACATCACCGAGCCTCGATATCGAAAAGTAAAGCTGCTCCCAAATTTAAACAGCATTTTTGTATATATATTTTGGAAGCTCTGTCAGTAAAATGGAGTATTGGTACTTACCAGTACATCTAAAATACATCAATCAATAAAAATTTTAATAATGAAATATTTTATTCATAGAACTATTAATACTGAAAACAAGTTTATCGCCGAAACCATATGAACACTCACAGCCACACGAACACATTGTTGACATTTTGCAGGGTGGGAAATTACGGATCGAGACTGAAGGGGATACGGTTTGTGCTGTTAAGGTGCTTTTTTTTTTCCCTTTTCTGCTTCCTTTCCTCATTGCTCCTATTGATGCAAATGCAAATTATATCCATATTTAAAAAATTGAGAAATACAAGTGGTCCTGAACATGCTTTTTTTCCCACTGTAATAAACAGTGTAATTGACAATTAGTGTGAATTAAAAATATGTTAATTGTTAGTACAGTCCTTGTCCATTTTAGAGTTATTCAGTTTCTTGTCTCATTTTCCATTTGTGGGCGTTCGAAGGTACCATAACAGCATGCATATCAAACTAAATAACTTTGCTTGAGGTCGAGTATTAATTTTCATAATATATTATTATTATCTGATTATAAATTATTCTGCTTGTTTTTAGTGACCTGCACAAAGGGTCACTCTGCTTAGATTTATTGGGGTAAATTAGTTATGCAGACTTCAGGTCTTAGTTATTGAATCTTTTCAATTCTAGGCTGCTGGAGTACAGAGTGAAGTCGGTTGCTGGTCAAGATGATGAGGGAAGTGTATTCCACATTGTGTAAGCTCTATACCTGTATATATATAGTTATTCTAGTGCAAATAGAATAGAAATCTACCACAATATTCTGATAAAGCAAAGCTGTCAGCCCTGTGTGACATAATACAAGACTAGAAAATGTGCTAAAATTCACAGGGTGTGAGGCTAACTTTTTTATGATATCAGTGAAATTCTATATGTACTGGGAATGTCATCTAAGAAAACAATGCAAAAGTGAAACTCAAAGCATAGCGGAATTGTACTTTTGTTCAATAGACTGTAATTTGCCAGACCAACTACTAAAAACACCCATAGATGAATTATGTCAGCTTTTATTTGTTGGTGAACCCCACTCATTAGTCTGTCAATATTTAAGGTCACTCTCCAAATCACTCGAAATGTTGCATGATTTAATGCTAAGTTGGGAGACTTTTGGCTGTCTTGGATGATTTTCATTAAGGTGCACATCTCTTCTAAATTTAACAACTATTCTCTTAGTTTACCTCAGATAGCTGTTACTTTTGTGTTACACTGAACCTATTGTATTATTATTTATTTACAAAAAGAAGATAGCAAATAGCTATGTAGTTGAATAACTATACACAGTTTGTGTGTTCCTCAGATATACCAATGCTTTGGTAATGATAACTTAATGTGATCATCATCTTTTATTGTTTTTCAGTCTTAGTGTTATGTATTTATCATGTGGAAGGTGAAAGTGCAGTTCTTGGACAACACTTTTTGCACATAATAAAGCGTCAAGAATTTTTCAGTCAGGGTAGGTAAATATTAAAGTGTCTACTATAGGTTTCTATGATGTGTAAGTTGATGTTAATAATTTTTGCTGACAAAAAAGGTTTTCATACATTAAAACAGGTTTGTACTGATAGTAAAATTAGGTTTATATCCCTAGATTTAAAGAATATAACATATTGGTTCAGTAGATCAAATTATTATAGCAGAAAATAAACACATGCAATAGCAGAAGATTTGTTATAAGCATGTTATGAAGTGAGATTTAGCAAAACTTAAATGCTATCATTACATGTAGGAAATACAGCTGCAATAGAGTTTCAAGCCAAAAGCAAGTCTTATCCAGACCTCCCATCTTGGCTCACTCTAAAACAGCGCACGGAGTTACAAGATGCTTACTTGTTTGGTACACCAAGGGCAGGGGCAGTCAGCACTGACATACAGGTATGGTGTATGTGGTACAGTTTAAAATTATGGACATAATTGAATTTGTTATTTACCATTTATTTACTTAGTGTTTGTTTTCTGTTGCAGGTTGCTGAGAGTTTTTACATTAGACTCTTGAATTTTAGTATTATATTGACTTTCAGTGTCTCTTATTGCCTTGTAATCATATTCAATTGCTTTTCCCTCAATAGTGATCTAATCAGTTTTTTTTAATAAATCAAGAGTTTCTACTCTTAGTATTCATACTGATGTTAAAGCATTGCCGTAGAATATATTTAGAACTTAGGACCATATCATCTTAAATCAGCTTGCTTAACATATATTTTTTTTCTCAGCTAAATTGACAATTTCACCAATACATAATGCTAGTAATGTTTCACTGCAATATTTCCTTTATATTGAATTATAACTGATGTGGATAATGTTGTGTTACAGATCATTGCTTTAAACAAAGGGACATATCAGACAGAGCAAGATGCTTTTTCTATAACTGTAGATACCACAAAAGGTAGGTATTTTATTCTGTGTACTTTTTGAACTCTACGTGTATGTATTAATTATGTAAAATTTCAGTTTATCAAACAGGTTCATGACCCGAGCTGTCCAGCCTCATGTCGTGGACTCAAGAAAAATGTTAGGGGGTGTACTGGTTGCATTTCTTACCCTTGAATTTGCAGCTGATAAAGATCACTTGATGCCCAAAAGCGCTGCCTGCAACTCCCTAATATAATGTTTTTCTTGAGTCCATGGAATGAAGTGAGATACCTCAACCTATTTCATTATAAACCTACTATTGCTTGGTTCACTTGAACCATCAGCACCAAAGAATCTAGACAGCAGCCACTCTCAAGGCAAGAAGCCTAAGTAGCTAGCTTTTGTTCATTTATCCATGTATCTTGGGCATTGCAGCAGAGGGTGCTGCCAAAACACACGTCCTCAGAGAGTCAGCTCTGAACCCTGTTATTTTTATAAAGTGGGCTTTAACCAAGGCATGACCACCCACCCACACACAACTCTGTTATCTGCTGTAAAGAGTGTAATGCACATGACCTCATAGCCTAACAGTCATACAGAGGATGAATACTGGGGAGCCCTGGGGAATATATACTTATGTTAATTCAAAAAGACATTTATCTCCATTTTTAGCAAAAGATAACTTATATCTGATCTTGTACATATTTTTCTTCCACAATAACCATGAGAATTGATTATTTTAGACCTACCCAAGAGTATAGTGGAGTTAAGAGTGAAGAACTACAACATAGAGGAGTTCCTGGCAGGCCAGGCTTTGAGCAATCTTACCCGGATCATGGCAAAGCTGTGGCCTGAGGCTGGAACCCTGCAAGTGGTGAAGGTGTCTTCTCTTGTTGATGAGCTGGGAAGAGTACCAGTGCCAGATGGACCCATGCAACCACTGCCTAAAGAAGGGTAACAGTGATTGTGTACAGATAGCAAGTCTAATTGTGATATAAAAATGAATTTCCAGCCGATGTTAATGTGTTGAGAAATTGATATATTATGTTGCTTGGGGGTTATGTTTTGTTGAAATTATTCTTTATTTTTTTAGGAAAATATTGAAGAATATTTCAAAGTTGTTAAATGGGCATAGGCATGTGTTAAACACATCCACCGAAACTACCATCTTTTTGTTTTTCACATCTTTATTTTCTCCTAAAATTGCTTTTGAAATTGATACTATTTAACTTCAATCAGCATATCATAGATTTAGATTCAGGGTCCAAAGGTCTCTTAAACGATAATTGTTATTTGTAATTTCATAGCACAGATTTGTGATTGCGAGCTAAATTTATGACTCAAACTGCAATTTCATGGTACATTCATAAAAGTAGCTGTTGTCAGCATCATGATAATAAGAGCAAGCTGCCCAGCTTTCATCTAGGTTTTGTGCTGGGTTCTTTTTTCTCAACTCTGAACTATTTGCAATATGGGACTTCTATGCTCTCAACAATCTCCAGCACACAGGGAATGTATCAGAGAGGTGGGTAAGCAGATAAATTGTTCATGGTGTGCATTGCAGTGCTCACAATGACTTTTTTGTTTGTGCCATGAAATCATGGTTTGAGTCCCAATCACAAACCCTAGGCTCGAGATCTCTTGCAGCTATATCATTTGTAAGGCCAAATCTATTTACCAGTTATGACAATAGAGCTCAGTAAACATACCATTTCCAGGGTTTTGGTTCAGATTGGAGGAGCTGGGGATTTCTCTGCACTCCTGGCCAGTGTTAGTCAGCAAGTGAACAACACAAACTGCATGAACCAGGAACAGTTCATTGGAATCCGAGAAGACTTTGAGCCCGAGTTTAACCTTGACTGGTGTGCCTTTAAGATGTTTCCATTAGTAAGTTACAGTTGTCTGAAACTCTATAACATTTGCTTCACGAAAAATTAACAACTTCATGATTGACTGCTGTTTTTGAACATGCAAGTTGATTGGAAAAATTGTTGAAACAAATGTTAAAGTGATTTTTCCTAATTTTACTCGAAATTTTGCACTTGGTTTGAAGCAAGTTGAAAATGTTACTTGACTACATACCTTAATAGTCTGCCATGGACTGGAAGTAATATTATTTCATTTAATTTTCCACTTTTCTGGGTGTTCGTTTGAGAAATAGAGGTCTCTTACTATTGTGTTAGGTTGTTGCGTTAGGTGAGACTGATTGTGAAGACTTCTTGATTGCACCAAGCCCAAGAGTTGTTGCTATGACCCATAAAGATGATTGTCTGTCAAACCCCTTTGGACACCATACCAGTTGTTTTGCACTGTAATGTCAATTCATATTCCATTCATTACATTTTTTCTTCTTTTTTACTTTGGTCCCAACAGGTCCAGTTATCTGCAAATTTAATGCAGTATTCTTGATAACTAATAAGACAATGGGATATTTTTGACATGCTGTAGATTTATTCTTGTAAGTAGTGATGTATGTCACTGGAATGCTAACTAATGACCATGGTTGTTTTGAATTTTCTTTTCAGAGTAATGATTTGAACATAGGGTTTATCTAAATCTGTTGCAGC